ACTGGGATAAACTGGGACAAACTGGGACAAACTGGGATGGACTGGGAGCAAAAAACCCCGGGATTTTGGGAAAAAAATGGGGATTTTAGGGCGAAAAATGGGGATTTTCGGGTGAAAATGGGGATTTTACAGGGAAAAATGGGACTGGGACAAACTGGGATGGACTGGGATAAACTGGGAGAAACTGGGAGCAAAAAAATGGGGGTTTTGGGAAAAAAAAACGGGGATTTTGGGGTGAAAAATGGGGATTTTGGGGCAAAAATGGGAATGGGATGGACTGGGACAAACTGGGATGGACTGGGAGCAAAAAATCCCGGGATTTTAGGAAAAAAACCGGGGATTTTAGGGTGAAAAATGGGGATTTTACAGGGGAAAATGGGACTGGGACAAACTGGGAATGGACTGGGATGGACTGGGATGGACTGGGATAGACTGGGATAAACTGGGATGGACTGGGATAAACTGGGATGAACTGGGATAAACTGGGATAAACTGGGATGGACTGGGACAAACTGGGAGCAAAAAAATGGGGGTTTTGGGAAAAAAAAGGGGGATTTTAGGGCGAAAAATGGGGATTTTAGGGGGGAAAATGGGGATTTTACAGGGAAAAATGGGATTGGGATAAACTGGGAATGGACTGGGATGGACTGGGACAAACTGGGATAAACTGGGAATGGACTGGGATGGACTGGGACAGACTGGGAGCAAAAAACCCCGGGATTTTGGGGAAAAAATGGGGATTTTAGGGCAAAAATGGGGATTTTAGGGGCAAAAATGGGGATTTTACAGGGAAAAATGGGGATTTTAGGGGGGAAAATGGGGATTTTGGGGTAGAAATCAGGACTGGGATGGACTGGGAGGGACTGGGACAAACTGGGACAAACTGGGAGCAAAAAACCCTGGGATTTTGGGAAAAAAAACGGGGATTTTAGGGCAAAAAATGGGGATTTTACAGGGAAAAATGGGGATTTTACAGGGAAAAATGGGAATGGGATGGACTGGGATGGACTGGGATAAACTGGGATAAACTGGGATGGACTGGGATGGACTGGGATGGACTGGGAGCAAAAAAACCTGGGATTTTGGGAAAAAAAACGGGGATTTTAGGGCAAAAAATGGGGATTTTAGGGGGGAAAATGGGGATTTTCGGGTGAAAAATGGGGATTTTACAGGAAAAAATGGGACTGGGATGGACTGGGATAAACTGGGACAAACTGGGACAAACTGGGATGGACTGGGACAAACTGGGATGGACTGGGAGCAAAAAACCCCGGAATTTTGGGGAAAAAAATGGGGATTTTAGGGTGAAAAATGGGGATTTTAGGGGCAAAAATGGGACTGGGATTAACTGGGAATGGACTGGGATGGACTGGGGTGGACTGGGATAAACTGGAATGGACTAGGATAAACTGGGACAGACTGGGACAAACTGGGATAAACTGGGACAGACTGGGACAAACTGGGAGCGAAAAAATGGAGATTTGGGGGAAAAAAACGGGGATTTTAGGGTGAAAAATGGGGATTTTCGGGTGAAAATGGGGATTTTAGGGCGAAAAATGGGGATTTTGAGGTAGAAATCAGGACTGGGATGGACTGGGAGGGACTGGGACAGACTGGGACAAACTTGGAGCAAAAAACCCAGGGGTTTTGGGAAAAAAAAAACGGGGATTTTAGGGCAAAAAATGGGGATTTTGGGGTGATTGACAGCTGGGTGGGCATGTCTGTGGGGTGATTGACAGCCGGGTGGGTGTGGCCTGAGTCGGGTGGGTGTGTCCAATGGGTGATTGACAGCTGGGTGGGCGTGTCCATGGGGTGATCGACAATTGTGTGGGTGTGGCCTGATGCAGGTGGGTGTGTCCATGGGGTGATTGACGGGTGATCTCTGTAATGATTTACAAAGGAGTGGGCGTGTCTGTGAGGTGATTGACACTTGTGTGGGTGTGGCCTGAACTGGGAGGGTGTGTCCAATGGGTGATTGACAGCCGGGTGGGTGTGGCCTGAGCCGGGTGGGCGTGTCCCGGGGTGATTGACAGCCGGGTGGGTGTGTCCATGGGGTGATTGACAGCCGGGTGGGCATGTCCAGTGGGTGATTGACAGCCGGGTGGGCGTGTCTGTGTGGTGATTGACAGTTGGGTGGGCGTGTCCATGGGATGATTGACAGCTGGGTGGGCGTGTCCAGTGGGTGATTGACAGCCCGGCCCCGCCCCCAGGGAGGAGTTCAACATCGGGGTCCTGCACGCCTTCGTGGATCTGCACGAGTTCACCGACCTGAACCTGGTGCAGGCGCTCAGGTGGGGGAAACTGGGATGGACTGGGATGGACTGGGATGGACTGGGAGGGACTGGGATGGACTGGGAGGGGATTGGGATGGACTGGGAGGGACTGGGATAGACTGGGATGGACTGGGATGGACTGGGATGGACTGGGAATGAATTGGGAGGGACTGGGATGGACTGGGAATGGACTGGGATAAACTGGGAGGGACTGGGAGGGACTGGGAATGGACTGGGATAAACTGGGAGGGACTGGGAGGGACTGGGAATGGACTGGGATAAACTGGGAGGGGATTGGGATAAACTGGGATAAACTGGGAGGGACTGGGAGGGACTGGGGTGGACTGGGAATGGGATTCGGATCAATTGGGAGCACTGGGATGGACTGGGAGGGACTGGGATGGAACTGGGATGGGATTGGGATGGACTGGGAGGGACTGGGAATGAACTGGGAGAGATTGGGAGGGACTGGGAATGGACTGGGAATGGACTGGGAATGGACTGGGAATGGACTGGGATGGACTGGGAATGGACTGGGAATGGACTGGGAATGGACTGGGATGGGATTGGGATGGACTGGGATGGACTGGAATGGACTGGGATGGACTGGGAGGGACTGGGATAAACTGGGATAAACTGGGATGGACTGGGATGGACTGGGATGGACTGGGATGGACTGGGATGGACTGGGATGGACTGGGATGGACTGGGATGGGATTGGGATGGGATTGGGATGGACTGGGATGGACTGGGATGGACTGGGATATACTGGGAATTTCCCAGGCAGTTCCTGTGGAGTTTCCGGCTCCCCGGGTGTTTTTGGGGTCTCTCAGGTGGTTTTGGGGTCTCTCAGGTGTATTTTTAGGATATTTCAGGTGTTTTTGGGGTGTCTCAGGTGTATTTTGGGTTCCCCAGGCAGTTCCTGTGGAGTTTCCGGCTCCCCGGGGAGGCGCAGAAGATCGATCGGATGATGGAGGCGTTCGCTCAGCGCTACTGCCTGTGTAATCCGGGAGTGTTCACCTGTACAGGTAAAATACACACCTGAGATACACCTGGATACACCTGGGGATACCTGACACACACCCGGCACTGCCTGTGCAACCCCGGGAGTGTTCACCTGTACAGGTAAAATACACCTGAACACACCTGGATACACCTGAGACACACCCAGCACTGCCTGTGCAACCCCGGGGGTGTTCACCTGTACAGGTAACTCAGGATACACCTGGATACACCTGGGCACAGGTAACACACCTGAGACACACCCAGCACTGCCTGTGCAACCCCAGGGTGTTCACCTGTACAGGTAAAATACACCTGAACACACCTGGGACACACCCAAACACACCTGAGCACAGCTGGGATACACCTGAACACACCTGAGCACTGCCTGTGCAACCCCGGGGTGTTCACCTGTACAGGTAAAACACACACCTGAGTACAGGTAACACACCTGGGGACATCTGGGGATATCCCTGATACACCTGAGATACACCTGGGCACTGCCTGTGCAACCCCGGGGTGTTCACCTGTACAGGTAAAACACACACCTGGACACACCTGGGACACACCCAGCACTGCCTGTGTAATCCGGGAGTGTTCACCTGCACAGGTAAAATACACACCTGAACACACCTGGATACACCTGAACACACCTGGGGATACCTGGGGATATCCCTGATACACCTGGCACTGCCTGTGCAACCCGGGAGTGTTCACCTGTACAGGTAAAACACACACCTGAGATACACCTGGGGACACACCTGGGGACACCCAAACACAGCTGGGCACAGCTGGGGATATCCCTGATACACCTGGGATACACCTGAGCTCATACAGACACACCTGGGACACACCCAGCACTGCCTGTGCAACCCCGGGGTGTTCACCTGTACAGGTAAAATACACACCTGAGTACAGGTAACACACCTGGGGACATCTGGGGATATCCCTGATACACCCAGCACTGCCTGTGCAACCCGGGAGTGTTCACCTGTACAGGTAAAACACACACCTGGATACACCTGAGACACACCTGGGATACACCTGGATACACCTGGGACACACCCGGGCACTGCCTGTGCAACCCCGGGGTGTTCACCTGTACAGGTAAAATACACACCTGAGTACAGGTAACACACCTGGGGATACCTGACACACACCCGGCACTGCCTGTGCAACCCGGGAGTGTTCACCTGTACAGGTAAAATACACCTGAACACACCTGAGCACAGCTGGGACACACCTGAGCTCACACAGACACACCTGGGACACACCCAGCACTGCCTGTGCAACCCCGGGGTGTTCACCTGTACAGGTAAAACATACACCTGGACACAGGTAACACACCTGGGGATATCCCTGATACACCTGGGGACACCTGAGATACACCTGAGCACTGCCTGTGCAACCCCGGGGTGTTCACCTGTACAGGTAAAAYACACACCTGGATACACCTGGGGATACCTGACACACACCCAGCACTGCCTGTGCAACCCGGGGTGTTCACCTGTACAGGTAAAACACACACCTGGGAGGGTGGGGATACACCTGGGTTTATCCAGACTCTCACCTGTCCCAGGTGTATCTCAGGTGTATTTTGGGTGTCCCAGGTGTATTTTGAGTCCCTCAGGTGTGATTTGAGGGGCGCCAGGTGTATCTCAGGTGTATCCAGGTGTATTTCAGGTGTGTCCCAGGTGTGTTTAGGGTATCTCAGGTGTGTCACTGACCTTCTCAGGTTTGTCTCAGGTGTGTCCAGGTGTCTCTCAGCATTCCAGGTGTATCTCAGGTGTATCTCAGGTGTGTTTCACCTGTCCCAGGTGTATCTCAGGTGTGTTTAGGGTATCTCAGATGTGTCAGTGACTCTCTCAGGTGTATCTCAGGTGTGTCTCACCTGTCTCAGGTGTATCTCAGGTGTGTCTCAGGTGTGTTTAAGGTATCTCAGGTGCATCTCACCTGTCTCAGGTGTGTCCCAGGTGTCTCTCACCATTCCAGGTGTATCTCAGGTGTATCTCAGGTATCTCAGATGTGTCACTGACCCTCTCAGGTGTGTCCCAGGTGTATCTCACCTGTCCAGGTGTATCCCAGGTGTATCTCAGGTGTGTCTCAGGTGTCTTTAGGATATCCCAGGTGTGTCTCAGGTGTATCCAGGTGTGTTTGGGATATCTCAGGTGTGTTTAAGGTATCTCAGGTGTGTCACTGACCCTCTCAGGTGTGTCTCAGGTGTGTCTCAGGTGTCTCTCACCTGTCCAGGTGTGTCTCAGGTGTGTCCCAGGTGTATCCAGGTGTGTTTGGGATACCTCAGGTGTATTTAGGGTATCTCAGGTGTGTCACTGACCCTCTCAGGTGTGTCCCAGGTGTATCTCAGGTGTCTCTCAGGTGTCTCTCACCATTCCAGGTGTATCTCACCTGTCTCACCTGTCCATTTGTCACCCACAGACACCTGTTACGTGCTCTCTTTCGCTGTCATTATGCTCAACACGAGTCTGTCCCTGTCTCAGGTGTGTCCAGGTGTGTTTAGGATATCTCAGGTGTGTCACTGACCCTCTCAGGTGTATCTCAGGTGTATCTCACCTGTCTCAGGTGTGTCCCAGGTGTGTCCCAGGTGTATTTTGGGTGTCCCAGGTGTATTTTGAGTCCCTCAGGTGTGATTTGAGGGGCGCCAGGTGTGTCTCAGGTGTATTTAGGATATCTCAGGTGTGTCACTGACCCTCTCAGGTGTGTCTCGGGTGTGTCTCACCTGTCCCAGGTGTATCCAGGTGTGTCTCACCATTCCAGGTGTGTCTCAGGTGTGTCACTGACCCTCTCAGGTGTCTCTCAGGTGTGTCTCAGGTGTATCTCACTTGTCCTAGGTGTGTCCCAGGTGTATCCAGGTGTGTCTCAGGTGTCTTTAGGATATCTCAGGTGTGTTTAAGGTATCTCAGGTGTGTCACTGACCCTCTCAGGTGTGTCCCAGGTGTGTCTCACCATTCCAGGTGTATCTCACCTGTCTCAGGTGTATCTCAGGTGTCTCTTACCATTCCAGGTGTATCTCAGGTCTATCTCAGGTGTGTCCCAGCTGTGTCCAGGTGTGTTTAGGATATCTCAGGTGTGTCACTGACCCTCTCAGGTGTGTCCCAGGTGTATCTCAGGTGTCTCTCACTATTCCAGGTGTATCTCAGGTGTGTCACTGACCCTCTCAGGTGTGTCTCACCTGTCCATTTCTCACCTGTCACCCGCAGACACCTGTTACGTGCTCTCTTTCGCTGTCATTATGCTCAACACGAGTCTGTCCCTGTCCCTGTCCTTGTCCCACCTGTCACAGGTGTATCTCAGGTGTATCTCAGGTGTATCTCAGGTGTCTCTCACCATTCCAGGTGTGTCCCAGGTGTATTTTGGGTGTCCCAGGTGTATTTTAAGTCCCTCAGGTGTGATTTGAGGGGTACCAGGTGTGTCTCAGGTGTGTTTGGGTGTATTTAGGATATCTCAGGTGTATCTCAGGTTTGTCTCAGGGGTGTTTGGTGTATCCCAGGTGTGTTTTGGATATCTCAGGTGTGTCCCAGGTGTGTCTCAGGTGTATTTGGGGTGTCCCAGGTGTATTTTGAGTCCCTCAGGTGTGATTTGAGGGGCGCCAGGTGTGTTTCAGGTGTATCTCACCTGTCCCAGGTGTGTTTGGGATGTCTCTCACCATTTCAGGTGTATCTCAGGTGTATCTCAGGTGTGTCCCAGGTGTGTTTAGGATATCTCAGGTGTGTCACTGACCCTCTCAGGTGTATCTCACCTGTCCCATTTTCCATTTCTCACCTGCAGACACCTGTTACGTGCTCTCTTTCGCCGTTATCATGCTCAACACGAGTCTGTCCCTGTCCCTGTCCTTGTCCCACCTGTCACAGGTGTGTCTCAGGTGTATTTAGGATATCTCAGGTGTATCTCAGGTGTGTCCCAGGTGTGTTTGGGATATCTCAGGTGTGTCACTGACCCTCTCAGGTGTGTCCCAGGTGTGTCCAGGTGTCTCTCCCCATTCCAGGTGTATCTCAGGTGTGTCCCAGGTGTTTCTCACCATTCCAGGTGTATCTCACCTGTCTCACCTGTCCATTTTCCATTTTTCACCCGCAGACACCTGTTACGTGCTCTCTTTCGCTGTCATTATGCTCAACACGAGTCTGTCCCTGTCCCAGGTGTGTTTAGAATATCTCAGGTGTATCTCAGGTGTATCTCAGGTATCTCAGGTGTGTCACTGACTCTCTCAGGTGTGTCTCAGGTGTATCTCACCTGTCCCAGGTGTGTCCCCGGTGTATCTCAGGTGTCTCTCAGGTGTCTCTCCCCATTCCAGGTGTATCTCACCTGTCCATTTTCCATTTTTCACCCACAGACACCTGTTACGTGCTCTCCTTTGCGGTGATCATGCTCAACACGAGTCTGTCCCTGTCCCTGTCCCTGTCCCTGTCCTTGTCCCACCTGTCACAGGTGTATCTCAGGTGTGTCCCAGATGTGTTTAGGGTATCTCAGGTGTGTCTCACCTGTCCATTTCTCACCTGTCACCCGCAGACACCTGTTACGTTCTCTCCTTTGCCGTGATCATGCTCAACACGAGTCTGCACAACCCCAACGTTCGCGACAAACCCTCGGCCGAGCGATTCGTGGCCATGAACCGCGGCATCAACGACGGCGGGGACCTCCCTGAAGAGCTCCTCAGGGTAATTTGAGGAATTTGGGGAAAATCTGGGAATTTTGGGGAAAATTTGGGGATTTTTGGGAATTTTTAAGGATTTTTTTGGGTTTTTTGGTGAATTTTTTGTGATTTT